AGGGTTGCGATCTGTTGCCGGACACGGAAAAAGACAAAAAGGAAAAAAAAAATGATGAAATCTATTCTTTCAAATAAACATTAAAAAATATAGAGGACTTTCACTTCCATTCATGATGGAATAACAGGAAATGGATTTACTCTCCTTTCTTAAAAAGCTAGACAACCAGATGAAATAAATGAAACAGTAGTTTTCAGACATTGGACAACAGCCAGCACCAGGACAGTGATCCCTGAGAAATGGGAAACAAACAAGGAGAACACTACAGTTCTAGATTACTGCTTAGAGTTTCCAAACTGAAATGCAGGAATAGGAAACCCAAACCTGAGTTGAGGAGACACAGTTTGGAATTTGGGGAGGCCAAGGTAGCTAGAATGTGTGGGGTAGAATACCAGAGAAGAGAGGGCTGCCCAGAGAGAGAGAGCTATGAGCAGAGAGAGGGGTTATCTAAAGTCTTTGGCAGAATACTGACAGTGCATGAGTGCAAGGAATCAACCCAATACCAGAGAAGGACCCACCAGAAAGAATTAGGTGAAATAATCCCTAGAACTCACACAAGGCTGAGAATAGCTGGTGTTCCCACCATTCAGAGTGGAAAGACCTGCTGAGGTGTGGTTCTCAGAACGATATTGCCTTAGTAGTGGGAGCAACATTAACTCACCCTAAAAAAAGTAAAGCTTAAAAGCAAGACTCGAAGTAGTCAAACTGATTCCAAGCAGCTTAACTATATCCCAGAACAAAACCCAACAGAATTTAAAGGAATACCATAAAGGTAGCACCCAACATGATAAAATTTATAGTATCCAGTATCCAATTAAAAATTACCAGACACACAAAGAAGCAGAAAAATAAGACTTTTTTAATAGGAGAAAATATCAATTTCTGATTTCCAGAGTAAATCTTTTTTTGTATGACTCATAAGATTGTTTTTACCATAGAGAAATAGAAAAATCAGTCCCTGAAGCATAACCTTTTTTTCAGGTTGAAATCAGCTCGAGATGTTGTATCTAGGACGGGTCATTCATTGGCTCTTGGTTGTTTGCATCGTTATGTTGGTGGTATAGGCTCAGGACAACATCTGAAGACCAGTGTCAGCATTTTACTGGCTCTAGCACAAGATGGAACATCTCCTGAAGTCCAGGTATAATATTATTGGTTTTTTTATTATGAGATTTAAAAATAATATTTTTAGGAAAGTTACTTGCTCTATAAAATAATAGTGACTCTGATAAGTTGTTAGAAAAAATATATTAGTAGGGTCTTTCTCTGTCTTTCTGTTTTATGAGTCTTATCTGTAATAGCACATAACAGGATTTTGTTTTTCAACCTAATCTTTAAGTCTTTCTTATTCTGGGTATTTAACCCATTCACATACATTTCTTCAAATATATTTCCTTTTAATTATTTTTTTATTCTTTGTACTTGTTTCCCTTTTTTTGTATTTCCTTACATTTGTTAGATTGATCAAGTTTTTTTTTTTATTATTATAACTGTCCTTTCTCTCTCTTCCTCTAACACCCTGACCAAGACCCTGGGTCACTGGTTTAATCAAATGTACTCCTTGAATTTTTTTTTTCCATTGTTTCTCCTTAAACGTTTTCTACATAAATAAATATAACTTCAGTGAAGATCAAGAGTGTGTGTGTGAAGATATCCTACAGTCTTGATTTGCCACGTCATATTGAAGTGTCTGAAAATATTAAGAATATATGCATGTAGCAATTCAGTGTACCTAATTTAGTATACTCTATAATTCTTTACAACTAAAATAAAATTGTATTTTATTCTAGACTTGGTCTCTTCATTCACTTGCCTTGATAGTGGATTCTAGTGGCCCAATGTATCGTGGATATGTAGAACCAACATTGTCTCTAGTTCTTACGTTGCTGTTGACAGTTCCACCTTCACATACAGAAGTTCATCAGTGTTTGGGTAGATGCTTGGGTGCTATAATAACCACTGTTGGCCCTGAACTACAAGGTAAGTAAATTTATCTTAAAGAAACCAGACAGATGATTACTATCTTTTGATTTCCTGAATGTCAACATCATATTGCTTGAAGAAATCTTAACAATAATAATTACCGTGTACTGAATACTTGTGATTTTCCAAAGGCCTGGAAGTCAGCTTTTTATATGTGCTATTTTATTTAATCCCTACAACAAACCTGTGATGTGACAGTGTTTTTTGAAGTTTTGAGCAGGAAAACATTCCTTTTTTTTTTTTGTCCTTTTTGAGACCAGCCGCACCGCGCTCAGCCAGTGAGCGCTGTGAGCGCACCAGTCATCCCTATATGGGATCCGAACCCGCGGTGGGAACGCTGCTGCGCTCCCAGCGCCACACTCTCCCGAGTGCACCACGGGCTTGGCCCAGGAAAAACATTTCTAAATGAAATTTTCTTGGAGCCCCATGAAAATAATGATAAAAATGGCGTTTCTTTGGCCTGGAGTGCCATTTGCTTATCTTCATGTACTCTTGCTTCATTTATTTTGAACTCTAAGGATCAGGAACATAGTTAGAAAAACTGCTGCCGGGGCCGGCCCGGTGGCGCACTGCTACAGTGCGCCGCTTGGGAGTGTGGCGATGCTCCCGCCGAGGGTTCGGATCCCACATAGAGACCAGCCGCTCACTAGCTGAGCGAGGTGCGGGTGCAACACTGAGGGTTGCGATCCCGTTGCTGGTCCCGGTCCGGTACGGGCGCGACACTGAGGGTTGTGATCCGTTTCCGGTCACGAAAAAAGACAAAAAAAAGGAAAAAAAAAAAGAAAAACTGCTGCCATAAGGTAGATAATATTATCTAATTTTTCTTGAGGAAATAAGCTCAGATAAAAGCTTACTTGACTAGAGTTATATAGTTAATGAGTGGTACGTTTATGATCCTAAAGCCTATGTTCTTACCTCTTAATTCTACTGAACTAATTCTACTAATGGCTAAACAAAGCACTCAAGTCAGCAAATTATTGTGGATATATCCTGAATATCTAAACCACTTTCACAGTTCTCTTCTTTTCCTTCTATCATTTATTAAATGCTTTCAGTGGGTCAAACTTGTTAATACATTTTCTCATTTAATTCTGATAACAATCCAGAGATAGATATTATCTCCATTTTACAGATGAAACACTGATGCTGAGAGAGGTTAGAGCTTTTCCAGGGTTTTATGTATATATATAAGTAGAGAGTGGTCGGATTCAGAGGTGAGGCCCAGATCAGTTTTCTTTTCTTACACTTTTAATCCCTATGCTTTATTGCCTTCATTTGGACAGATAATTGAAAAAAAGAAAGAAGAGGAAAAAAATTATCTTGAGGAAGAATGCTAAGAATTGAAAAATATGTGATTTAGACATGGCTCTTTCTTGGACCCAGTGTCCTCTTTGGGAAAGTGAGGAGAATTATTTCTTCCTGTGAATGTCACAGAGATTTAAAGAGAATAAATATGCGCCTTTGATTAGGTATAGGTGTATACCAAATGTTTTCTGAAGTGATAATAGTAAGGAAATGCATATAAAACTAGAATTAAGTCTTATATGGTTCTATGATTTCCTTGTTTGGTCTGTGTATGTACATAAAAACACATTATATTACATTAGTAAGAAATTTTAAGTCACTTATATTTGGCAATTATGAAATTATTTTATAGACACTATATCATATTACAATTTATTTTTCCTAATTATCTCTATTAATTGCCATTAATCTTATTAGGAAAACAGGGTTTGAAGTTATTGTATAACAAAAGTGATAATATTGGTTTAATAGAGAACAGAGGAAGAGAAATCTTCTGGCTCTTTCAAGTAAAACAATGATGGTTATAAAAGGCAGTATAGTTTATTAGGGAATAAATACAAATCTAGCTAGACCTGAGAGATGCATTATTATCGTCCAAATACAATTGTGTTTTGAAATCATTACTATGGACTTTGCAAACTTTGTTTTCAAAACAGAATAATAATTGGAGGGAGGGGTTATTTAGTTTTCTATGAATATTAAAATAATTGTATTTTACATTTTTTAAAATTTTGCAACTAGGCAATGGAGCAACAATTTCTACAATTCGTTCCTCTTGTTTGGTGGGTTGTGCAATAACCCAGGACCATTCGGATTCTCTCGTTCAGGCAGCTGCTATATCTTGCCTTCAGCAGCTTCACATGTTTGCACCACGACATGTCAATCTATCTAGTCTTGTTCCTAGCCTTTGTGTAAGTTTAAAGCATTTTATTCATTGATTTATTTAGGGAGGCTCTAAATTTCTTTCTCAAAAGATCAAAATGGGCCAAAACAAAAAATGTACGTTTCCTGGATTGTAAATTCTAGAGTTTCATTTTCAATAGTTGTTTTATGACTATTTATTTAATTTACTAGTTTTCTCTTTTACCTTTTAAGAAATATTTTGATGAACTGTTTATTTCTTGGCTAAGAATGCATCACGGTTTTAGTCTTTCCTGCTCAGAATTCTATTCTCTAAAGCTTGACTGATAAATTCTAAGGATCTGTTGTTATCATTACAGTCGTTAATTTATTCATTCAGCAAATATTTACTGATAGCCTGCTATGTATACATCAAATACCATGCAAATTACTGGAGATACATTTGTAGATGAGACAAGATTAAGCTTCTCTCATAGTGAAGTTCATGGTTTACAAGGGAAAATGGACAATAGTCATTTACAAATAAGTGCTAGAAAGGGCTGTAGGAGAGCATAAGGGGGACCTATCAGAATCCAGGCATTTAGAAAAGCTTTTCCAAAAAAATGATATTTAAGGTGTGATTTGCAGGATAAATACGAGTTAGTTTGCAGAGGGGCATGATATTGGAATAGATATCATCTGTTTTTAGTTAGAGGGAGAAATATGTGGAAGGCCCTCAAATGGGCAGGCATTTAGAAAAGCTTTTCCAAAAAAATGATATTTAAGGTGTGATTTGCAGGATAAATAGGAGTTAGTTTGCAGAGGGGCATGATATTGGAATAGATATCATCTGTTTTTAGTTAGAGGGAGAAATATGTGGAAGGCCCTCAAATGGGAAAAAATGTGATACATTTAAGGAACCACTTAGTGTGGTTAAGGCTGAGAGAGAAGAGAGAGATGCATGATAGAGCGACACAAGATGAGGCTAGACAGCCAGGTGACAGATCAGTGCAGACTTCCCAGGTATATTAAAACTTTGGACTTAATTCTACAAGCAATAGGAAGCCATTAGAAGGTATTCCACAGGGGAGTGCATGATAGAGCGACACAAGATGAGGCTAGACAGCCAGGTGACAGATCAGTGCAGACTTCCTAGGTATATTAAAACTTTGGACTTAATTCTACAAGCAATAGGAAGCCATTAGAAGGTATTCCACAGGGGAATAATATTATCAGATTTGCACTTCTTACATTTCATTCTTGCTATTATCATGAAGAATGGACTCTGCAGGGTAAGAATTATAGTGTTCTAGGAGGAGGAAGATAATGATTTGCTCTAAGTTGTAGCAGTAGGAATGGAGAAAAATAGATGGATTTGAGTGATATTTAGGAGGAAGGATTAACAGAATTTTTTGAGGGAAAAGTGGAAAGAATGTGGCCCAGGTTTTTGACTTGAGCATAGTAATGTAATTGCCTGAGGTTGGTAACACTGGAGGAGAAGTTTTACATTTGTGAATATTTAGTCACATGGGTCTGAAGCTCAGAAAAGAGAGGTAAATTTAGAGGCATAAACATTTAGATGGCAAATAAAGATATAGGAGTAGCTGAGATCACTGGAGAGAGATTAAAATTTAGAAAAGAAAAGGAGTCAGCAAAAAATATGAAGAGATTAAAGGAAAAATAGAGGTTGTGTTGTTCACAGAAGCCAAAAGGAGTAGAGGAATGGTGTTTTTGGAAAAATTGACAAAAACTTTATGTGCAAACGCAAAGGGCTTTTAAAGACCAATGAGTGGGAGTATTTACTGTATACGTACTATCAGCTTAATTACCATCAGCTACAGTAAGAAAGAAAGGGTGGTATGGCAAGTGTAGACAAGTAGATAAATGGAACACAATAGAATGTCCAGAACTGGATTCACACATATACGGTTATATATGTATGACTGTGATACCACTACAGTTCAGTGTGGAAAGGATCATCTTTTCGATAAATACAGGAACCATAAGATACCATCAGTTGTACTTTGCATCTCTATAATCATAGATGTTAAAAGGAAAAGTACACCTCAGAATCACTGAAATGGAGTTTTTAAAAACACTTTGTAAACTGGAAAGTGTTTTATTTTTCACTTTAGCTCTGCTAGTCAAAATTTGATGAGTGTAATCTTTTAGCTACAATTCTCTGTAATGGTTATTAAATTAAATTTCTATGGTATTCTACTACACTTGATTCTATGGCAGCTGTATAATAGGCAGGTAGACATTGTTCCCATCGTACGGATAAAAAGGCAGAAATTCCAAGAGACTGAGACATTTGTTCTTCCCATTTGATATGACCACATTTAAGCGTTCTAATCATGGGGTATTTGAAAGTTCCAAAATGTCTTTATTTTTAGGAAGGGAAGTAAATAAAACATTTTGTTGATAAAAATCTGTCAGGTTTTAGTAGGACCGTGTGTAAAATAAGAAGTGCAAAACATCCTTCTGGATTTTCATCTAAGTATATTGTATGAGTTTTAGTGCACAGATCTTGGGGCAGCTATTTTGGCTACTAACATATTTTTTGTATATTTTGTTGGCATTATTATTTTGCCAAAGGGCCATCATTTGACTATATTTTAAACAACTGAGGTTTTTAAATGAAGAGCTTCATCATAAGTAAGGTTTTAATATATATTTATTAGGCTAGTGAGATTAAAGTATTATAACTTTTTAAAAAAATTTGCCTAACTTGTTATGCTTTACAGGTTCACTTATGTAGTTCCCATTTGTTACTTCGACGGGCAGCTGTGGCATGTCTCCGGCAACTTGCACAAAGAGAAGCAGCTGAAGTGTGTGAATATGCCATGAGCCTAGCAAAAAGTTCAGGAGACAAAGAGAGCAGTGGTGCCAGTAAGTTATTATATTGATCAATATTCTTTTTTGTTTAAATACTTCTACATTTCGAATGAGTATTATTTATTAAATAGCATTTTTGTGTTGAAATGCGGTCAAGTTTCCTATTATTTTAAATAGAACCATTATCACTTTAAAAATTTCAGTGTAGTTTTCTTGGTTATTTTGCATTTTTACCTTTTAAAAACTTTTTCAGCTTAAAAAAATGAATAGCATTTAATATCAGAATACTTCTGCCATACCTTGAGGATGTTTTAGCTATATAAAGGACAAATAACTCTAAGAATATTGCCCTGTATCACTAGTAAACTACTGAAAAGAGAAATGATATATTTTAGGGGCACTTGAAAGGTTTCAGCTTATGAAGAATAGTTAATCTTTTCTGATATAATTTTTTTCTCTTAGAAGATAAGGCCAAAGTAGCCAGTAAAACTATGAAATGTCTCCCCATACCAGCCAGCTGCCAAAAAAAAAAAAAAAAAGCTATGAAATGTCAGTAGATATTTTGGTAGCAAAAGGTTGATCTTTGCTTTGTTCTTTGGAGGGTTTTAAGTATAACTTGAATTCATAGCTGGTCTTCTGATTTCTAGGGATAGGTGGTTTGGAAACTTTTTAAGAGTTCAGTTGACAGAGGTATTTGCCCTTTTAAGAGAAAAATTTTTACTTATAAGCGATTTCTAATTTCTGTGACCTGCTTGGATACTGAGAAGCAAGATTCAAAAATAACTTCAATTTTAGTGTAGTATGATAAGGGCTGTATTAACAAACATACTGTATTGTAGGATATAAAATAAGTTTATTTTAAAATTCTAACAGTAAACATTGTTGCTCTTTGGAGAGGAAACAGCACCAAAAGTAATTACAGAATACATATACAATTTTAAAACTTCTACATGTCAGTCACCATAATCAAAATTGAAAGACAAACTAAGACAGGGAAAAATATTTGCAAAATTTATTTATTTTATTAATTTTATTGGTTAATGTGTATATTTATATTTTAATGTTTTTAAGGCTTTTACAAATGAGTGTGTAGGGAGTCCCTCAGACTACCCCCAGATTTGATGATTCGCTAGAAGGACTCTGCATATAGGCATACTAATGGATATGATTTATGGTGATGAAAGAATAATAAGCAAAGGGAAAAGGTACATGGTGAAGTCCAGAGGAAACAAAGCACAAGCTTCCAAAAGTCCTCTCCCTGTGGAGTCACACAGATGTGCTTAATTCCCAGCAATGAGTTGCGACAATATGTGTGAAATGTTGTATACCAGGGAAGTGTATTAGAAACTTAGTGCCCAGGGTTTTTACTGGAGGCTGGTCCCATAGGCATGGTCTACCTAGCATGTACCAAAAGTTCACACTCTCAAAAGGAAAGCAGATATTTAGCACTGCTTAGGCACAGTGAGCCACTTTTATCAGGGAATGGTAGGAAACCTCCAGAAACCCAATTTCTAGGTGCCAGCCAATGGCTAACCTGGCAATTAGGCCTTTGCTAAGGTAGTCGCAGGCCTGCTATGTTAACTCTTTTCTGTACCTGCAAAAAAATCACAAGAGCACTTGAATGTATTTTATCAAAGAAGAAATACCAATAAACGAAATATCTTTAACTACCAGTGTTTAAATAATTATGTTACTACAATCATAAGATAGCATTTTTCTTCTATAAAACTGATCAAGATTAATAATAATAATTATAACCAGTGTTAGAAGAGAGGTGAATAAAAGAAGAATTTTGTATACTGCTGGTAGAAATGTAAAGTCATACAGATTTGTTGTAAGTGTTTTTTGGTAGTATGTTCCCAAAGTTTTCAAAATGTGCATACCCTTTGACCTAGCAGTCCCCTTTTAGGAATTTGTCCTTGGTGGTTAATCAGTGTTCTCTTAATTCATTGGTTTGCAATGTAGCCATCCATATTTTCACTGAGAGTTGGCTTTGTGTTTTTCTTTTTTTCTCAGATATCAAAGTTAAGTTTTTGTTAGTCTAAAATAATTTGTTATAACTATAACATGTTTTTGTAAGCCTCATGATAACCAAAACACAAAACTTATAATTGACATACTTAAATAGTGAGAAATCAGAATAAAATTTACACTGTATAATTACTGATATGGAAAAGTATTCATTATATATTGCTGTGTCTCTTCCTAATGCTGTTCTTTTTTCTGAGAACCTTTTCTTTTGGCTTTTCCTACTGTCTTGGAATTTCACTCACTATGGCTATTTTCTGCAAACCTCTTGTTATTCTGTCTTTGCAAAGACTCAACTAAAATAAGCTACCTTTCAGCCTGCATCCTTCTATCTCACTGCTTTCAGGGTTCAGAGGGCTCTAGACTTCAGAGAGCCTCGTGGTATTCATTCTTAAGGTTGCCAGTTGTACTTCTTATATAAACATAAGAATGCAAAGATTATATGATGAAGCAAGAAATTTAACCACTATTTCATAACAATATTACTTTTTGATTGTATATTATTTGGAAAGGATTTTTCCAATTTTAAAATGAACTTTTAGAATACAATCCACTTATGTTTGTGTTCTGGCTTTAGATTTTTAAAAATCTGAACTATAAGACCAAATAAATTTCAGTTTGTGCTTGTAACAAATACAGCAATTTTTTTCAGTTTGTTAAATATATTTAGAAGTATGTCTCTTTCTCACACTTTTTTTTTTATTAGAATCAAATATTTATTGCACATTCCCTAGAGATTTGTTTACAGTATTCTCAGAATAATCTCATCTTAAAGATCAGGGTTTACTCCTACTGTCAGATGAAATTTTAATCCTAAATACATGTAAACTAGAGGTCATAGTTAAATTGTATATATAGCTAGCTAGCTGGTTTTGTTGCTATTGTGAATTTACATTTCAGACTTCGTCTTTAACATAATTGTTACCTATAGCATACAACAAAATCCCATACAAGTTTACTTGTGAAAATTGCTTTTCAGATGTCAGTCCTTTTGCACCTGGGGTCGGTTCTCGAAGTGGTATCCATTCTCGGCACCAAGGTGTTAATATAACAGAAACTGGTCTTGAGGGACTTCTTTTTGGAATGCTAGACCGAGAGACAGATCGAAAATTATGTTCTGATATTCATGACACTTTAGGACATATGCTTTCATCCCTGGCAGTAGAAAAACTTTCCCATTGGCTAATGCTTTGTAAAGATGTCCTGGCAGCTTCTAGTGGTATGTATTTAAATATGTTCTTAAAATAATGAAAATTGTTTTCCTTCTGATATATCGATATGGGTGTGTGTGTGTGTGTGTGTGTGTGTGTGTGTGTGTATCCGAATGAAAATTGTTTTCCTTCTGATATATCGATATGGGTGTGTGTGTGTGTGTGTGTGTGTGTATCCAAAAAGTTCATGGAAAAATAGATTTAAAAGACAATACAAATTTTTCCATGAACTTTTTGAAGTACCCTCATATATAAATATACATATATAGAAATTTGAGCTAATGTTTGAAAGTACTATAATTTTTAATCTATAAATTCCTATAAAAATGTTGAAGGATAGATGATATTACAAACTAATGAAATTTCTATATTTTTTGAAAATGTATTTAAAAATTTTTTGAAAGTTCAAACCAAATTTTCATATATAAAAATCCCAAGTTACTTTGTAATACAACATAGTATGTAAAACTATTGAAATATGTAAGTGTAATTTACATAAAAGTAATTTATGTTATCCTTCCTTGGTTTTTGGTTATTTAAAAAAAAAAAAAAGTTGCCAGTTTTACTGTTTTCCAGACAATGAGAATTTTGTCTTTTTTTAAAACTGGAAATCTAACATTAATGGTATTTCTACAGCATCATTTTCCTACATGTGAGGTTGTTATAATAGTCTCTATTTTTGTTATAGATATGAGTACTGCAACTCCCTTAAGCAGTGGAAAAGATGAAGAATCTGAAAAGAAGGATGAGATGGACGATGATACCATGTTTACCACCCTAGGAGAAGAAGACAAATCAAAGCCCTTTGTGGCACCTCGCTGGGCCACTCGGGTATTTGCTGCTGATTGCCTGTGTCGAATCATCAATTTATGTGAGAATGCAGACCAGGCTCACTTTGATCTTGCTATGGCACGTTCTGCTAAACTACGAAACCCTACAAGTAAATTTAAAACCAGTACTTTGTTTCCCCAAAGAATTTTTATAAGTTTGAGATATTTTACTGCTGTGTAACATGCTTTAGACTGGCCTTTCATTTATCGTAAGTTCTCTTGCCTTTTATCTTAGTTTTCTGTCCCCTCTCCATACTATCTTATGATTCCTATTTGGAAGATAAGTTGAAGAAGGTGGTCCGAAGATAAATAGATATATCTGTCTTCATCATTTGCCTTAAGGATAACAATGGCAGTACTTATGTTTCCTCAGTACATTGTTCTAGTTTTAGTACTTTACTGTAAAAAATATGGCAAAATGCTAAGGTGTGTGAATATAATGAGCTTGCAGTCCCCACCTGTGGAGAATGTCAGAATTCATGAACTCCATGGCAGATTTCAGACTGTCAGATTTTAGAAATGCTGTTAGGCATTTTCGAAAAAGTGAACATTGTCTATTACTGAAAACCTTCACTGCTTTTTATCTTTTATAAGCTTTTTACACCACATATCCCCTGGATCAGATATTACAGGGAATTTACAAAGAAATCAGTCGCATATCTTTATTTTGCAGTTGAAGAGACCCAGAGAAGCTGAGCGAGGTGGTAGAGTAACAGACTCCCTATCCTGTATTTTGTTGTCTCTTCATCACCCTGTCATTTTTTAAGTATCTGAAGACAAACTATATGTATTAACAATATTAAAGTCTATAAATTAAAAATGCTTTTAAGGTTATTTTGTTATGTGTAAGAAGCAGCAGAGCTCACAAATATATTTTAAAAACAAACAAAAGTAAAACAGTTGTACACCATGTATAAATGTGAATCTGAATAAGGGTACCAACAAAGCACAATACATCATGAACACAGTGTCTTTATTCATGTCATTATTTAACAAATATTTACTGAATTCTTTTCCTTCTGTACATGGGGGATACAAAGAAGAATAAAACATAGGCCATTCCCTGGAAGAACTTCTAGTCTAGGAGACACAGACAGACTTTTCAGTCAAATAATTATACTGTGTCCCAATAGTGGTGTGATAGAGTACTTGGCAAACTTTAAAAAAATAGTATTAATTTCCTGAAGAGCCAGGGAAGACGTCACAGAAGAGGTTATTTTGAAGCTGGGTTCTAAAGGCAGAGAACAAGTTTTCCAGGTAGAAGAGGCTGGTTGTATTAGTTTTCTATTGCTGCTATAACAAATGATCACAAACGTTGGTTTAAAACAACCCAAGTTTTTCTTATAGTTCTCTAGGTCAGAAGTCCAACATGAGTCTCACCGAGCTGAAATCAAGGTGTCAGCAGGGCTCTGTTCCTTTCTGGAGGCTCTAGGGGGAATCCATTTCCTTTTCTTTCTCAGCTTTTATATGCTACCTGCATTCCTTGGCTCATGGCTCTGTTTCTCTGTCTTCAGAGCCAGCAATGTTAAAGTTCTCTGTGATGCTTCTTCGGTTGTCACAGCTCTCTCACTGACTGCAGCCAGGAAAGGTGCTCTGCTGTTTAAGGCTCATGTGATTAGACTGCACCCATCTGAATAATTTAGGATAATATCCTGTTTTAGGGTCCATAACCGTAATCACATCTGCAAAGGCCCTTTTGCTATGTAAGGTAACATATTCACAAGTTCTAGGTTTTATGGTATGGACATCTTTGGAGTAAGAGAATTTGCTAAGTCATGGAATCGTAGGTGTGCATACCATATTTAAGGAATAGTGAAAATCCTTAGGTTGGCTTTCCTTTTTTTGTATTCCTTAACTTTTTTTTTTCTCATTGTTTGTGTCTTGTCCTTTTACCTTTATTCACAGAGATCCTCACCTTTTTTTTAATATATATATACATTGATAGTGTTTTACTCTTTCCTGCCTTCATAGTGGATCTTAAATCTGCTTTTATCTTTTTAGTTTTCTTTTAATTTTTCTGCATTTCTCCCATCTCCATTATATCATATCCTTTTCACTCTTTACGATTTTCTGTTCTTATTTAATAGCAGCTATGATTTTTTGCATTTATTGAGGATGCCAAATGATCTCCTATATCTTATTCTGTTTTTTTTTTTTCTTTTTGTCTTTTTTCGTGACTGGCAATGGATCGCAACCCTCGGTGTTGCCCCCGCTCCTCGCTCAGCCAGTGAGCGGTCGGTCTGTACGTGGGATCCGAACCCTCGGCGGGAGCACCACCGCACTGCCAAGCAGCGCACTGTAGCAGCGCTCCACCAGGCCGGCCTTATTCTGGTTTTTATAGAAAATTGTTTTCATTGGATAATTCTGGGTCGGGGGAAAGAAAAGAAAATTGTTTTTAGAGGTTAGCTCTTTCTCTGAATATTTAGAATCTTTCTTTTCCCTGGTTGTATTTTTTTCCCCCCATAGGCTTATTTGTTTACATATTCTTGAGAGAAAAGAATGCTCTTCATATTTAGAATTTGCTCATAGTGTGCTGGTGTTTGGGGGTGTATTGCCTATGTTCTCTGTCTTTGTTTACTGGGTACTTTACATCTGTAGCTGGACGGTGAGCTGGTACAGTTCCCCACCTAAATTCCAGTGCCTGGCATGCTTTGTTCTGCTGGACGCTTTCTAGTATTACCGCCTGCCATTCTGATTCTGAACAGTCATGGCAGAATATATGAAAGAGTATATAAATGTGCTGTTCAGACTTCCTGTATCATCCTCATCTCTATATCTTCCTGTCTACTGTACTTTAACTGCAGGAAATTACTACTCCCAGAATACGAAAAAGCTCTACCAGCCCCCTAATTTTTTCCCCATTTTGGAGTTTCTGCCCAGTCCCCCTTCCCATTCCCACCCTTTAAGGAGTTCATGTCCTTAAATTTAGAAAAAAAACAGAGGTCTTGACTTGGGGAAGTTTGGAGGTAGAGATGTGTGGAGAAGTAACAGGACGCCAGTTTTTAGGGAAAGCAGAACTCTCATTCCAGGGACAATTGCCTGGTTTTTGGTTTGATAGACTGATATGGTCCTCAACTTTGTGAACTAGGTGACAGAGAATGCAGGAAGAATAATAGGTCTTTTTTTTTACTTTTATATTTATTTATTTTTATTAGCTCCCAAAAATAAGTGAAAACATGCAGTATTTTCTTTCTGTGTCTGGCTTATTTATTTACTTTTAAATTAGCATAATATGAGTAGGCTCACTTTAATCCAGTTCCTTCTGCCTTGAAAATTTTCTCACAAAATTTGGCAGTAGTTTATTATACCTCATTTTTTCTTTCTCAACTTTTTTTTATAGCAGTAAAATACACATAACATAAAAATTACCATATTTTTATTTTTTGCTTATCAGATTGGTAAAGTTTAAAAAAATTTTTTTAAAAATTGTTTTAATCGACAGGTAAAATTGCATGTATTTATTGTGTACAACATGATGTTTGAAGTATATATACTCATACTTATGGAATAGAGTTATGAACATCATTTTGGTCAGTGACAGATTGTGTATATGAAGGTGGTCCCATAAGATAACAATGGCTATACCATATAGCCTAGGTGTGTAGTAGGCTATACCATCTAGGTTTAAGTACACTCTATGATGTTTGCACAACGAAAAAAATCATCTAACACTTAGGCTATACCATCTAGGTTTGTTTAAGTACACTCTATGATGTTTGCACAACGAAAAAAATCATCTAACACTTAGGCTATACCATCTAGGTTTGTTTAAGTACACTCTATGATGTTTGCACAACGAAAAAAATCATCTAACACTTAGGCTATACCATCTAGGTTTGTTTAAGTACACTCTATGATGTTTGCACAACGAAAAAAATCATCTAACACTGCATTTCTGAGAATGTATTTCTGTCATTAAGTGATGTATGACTGTAGTTAAATCTAGTTAGTTAACAAATGCCTTACATCACATAGTTATCATTTTTGAGGTGAGAACACTTAACATCTACTACCTTTGCAAGTTCGAGAATATAATATATTGTCACTGCTTGTAGTCACCATGCTATACAATAGATCTCTTGAATTTTTTCCTCCTATCTGACTGTGATTGTATATCTTTTGACCAACATCTACCCCACCCTCTTATACTCTTCAGTCATTGGTAACCACCGTTGTACTGTCTGCTTCTGTGAGATTAATTTTTTTAGATTCCATGTGTGAGTGAGATCATGTGGTATTTGTCTTTCTGTGCCTGGCTTATTTCACTTAACATAATGTCCTCTAGGTTCATCCATGACAGGATTTTGTTCTTTTTATGGCTGAATAGTATTCCATTCTTTATGTATACCATGTTTTCTTTATCCATTCATCCCTAGATGGACACTTAGGTTGATTCCAAATCTTGGCTATTGTTAATAGTGCTGCAGTAAACATGGGAGTGCAGATATCTTTTTGATATACTAATTTCAATACCTCATTTTTGTTGGTGGCGTGTTTTTGCCTTCCTCGGGTGAGGAAGCATTGGAGCTTCTAGCCAAATGTTTTGCACTTTCCCCTTGCTTCTCACCCCCAAAGTAACAGATATTCTTTTTTAACTAAAGATTCTAAAATTGGAATTTTAGGTAGGCAAATGAAAAAATTTGAAGATACACATCTTGTAACCTTGAAAACAACAACAGAAAACTTATTCAAATAGGAGCTGTTTGGGGATCAGGCTGAGCCACAGAATAGCCACTGCTTCAAAAAGATTTTGAGTCTTGCAGCCCTCCTGAAGAACTTTGTAGTCCTTGAGCTTGATAAATTCTTTAGATAATTTCTGTTGCTATGTCTTTTAAATTTACTCATCATTAGTATCCAGCCTCTGTTAATCTTATCAGTGTATTTTTCATTTCAGATATTTTGTATCTCTAAAAGTTCCCTTTGTGGTTTTTTCTGTCTTTCATTTCTCTCTTCATCATGTTCATGCTTTCTTTTTCCTTCTTGAACATAGGAAGCCTATTTATAATAGGTCCCTGTCTGCTAATTCTATTATTGCTTTCATTTCTGGACCTTTTTCTATTCATTAATTTTTTTTTCTCTCTCTTTGTTGTGAAACATATTTCTCTACTTCTTTGCATCCTTGTAATTTTTTATTAGGCACCAGATGTTGCAATTTTATGATGTTAGTGTTGGATTTTGCTGTATTTCTTTAAGTAGTGTTCGACTTTTTTCTGGGAGGTAAATTACTTGGTATCATTTGAATTCTTCTGAGACTTGCTTTTAAGCTTTGTTAGGGCAGATTCACTGTAACCTTTTACTCTATGGCAAAAAGGAAAAAGATTTCCGTTTTTCACATCTTATTCTTATAAAAGTCATTTTCTTTTCATTTCGTGGATTTAAGTTTCCTGACACAAATCTGAGTTTTCTAAAGTAGGGGTTGGCAGACAACAGCCTGCAAGTCTAAATTCAGCCACAGTCTGTTTTTGCAAGTACAGTTTTATGTTTTTGCAAGTACAGTTTTATTGAAGCACAGCACACTTATTTCTATGCATGTTACCTGTGGCTGCTGTTAGTAACAGCAGAGTTGAGTAGTTGCAATAGTGGTTTTATAGCATGCAAAACCAAAAATGTTTACTATCTGGTCCTTTAAAGAAAAAGTTTGCCAACCCCTGTTATAAAAGAATTTACAAATTCGTTTGGACAAATTGTGTTATTCAAATATTTTGCTTCAGATGTCATTGCATACCCTATAATGGCCTCTGTGTTACAATAGCATACAAAGGTTCTCGAAAGATTCTTGAAAGATTGATATGGAACTTTTCTTGAAAGAGTATCGTTGTTATTTTTAAATATGAAATATGTGGATCATTAGTGCTTTTATCAGAAATTTATTTCATTTCATATTTTTATTTTGTTACACTTATTTTTGGAAAAGTTATCCTTTTTGCATTCTATTTTCATTTTTAGATGACCTCTTGGTCCTTCATCTCTCTGACCTGATTCGCATGGCATTCATGGCTGCAACTGATCATAGCAACCAGCTGAGGATGGCTGGGCTCCAGGCACTTGAAGATATTATCAAGAAGTTTGCATCTGTGCCTGAGCCAGAATTTCCAGGTCATGTGATCCTGGAGCAGTATCAAGCTAATGTGAGATTTTCTATTTAGCTAGAAACTTATAATTGCTCTTATGGGACCATTAAAGGAGTCAGTACTCTCTGGAGGAATATATTTGGAACTACAATCTATTTTTTCACATAGAGTATATATCTTTACTTCTATTGTTTGTTACATAGTTTCAGTCAACCCACAGTTGAAGAAATAATAGTGTCAAGTTGTTGTCACTATTTTTAAGTTGTGATAGCATAGTAGTGATAAAACTAGAATAGAAATTAAAGCCTAGCAGTTTTGTGTTTAGATATTTAACCGGACCATTTAAAAGATTAAAGGAACATTCAAAAGAATGTTGTGGATTTGCTGCCATTATTTTTATAAGCCCAAGGCTTGATGAGCATTTTAGAAATAAAAAACAATTGCCCTTTGTATACTGTAGGATAAATTAACTCTTCATAACAGCAGTTAAAAGTATTACTGGAAGAATTAGATACGTTCAAAAATTTTTTTTATTTCATTCTAAGCAGAGATATACTTGTACTGTAGGATAAATTAACTCTTCATAACAGCAGTTAAAAGTATTACTGGAAGAATTAGATACATTCAAAAATTTTTTTTATTTCATTCTAAGCAGAGATATACTTGATTCTCCTGAGATTCTATATCTTTACTTATGTTCTTCAAATGAGGTGCAGTAAACTAATCCTAGTAGTGAGGAGTTATGTGAAGGGAGAAAAAAATTGTTATCAAAGAAAGAACAAATTTTTTTTTTACTGTGAATATACCATAATCTTGGCTCTCGATACACCATACCTTATTTAAAAGCTGTGCTCAAACATGCACAAAATGAAAAATATGATTATTGTACAATCCACTGTTTTTCCATCATAAGTACAGGTGATGAAATTATAGCTTCTTGCCCAACTGGCTATAGAAAACATATGTACAATTGTTTACTCCCAAATACCCAGAACAAGGGTCTTTTACAAAATTTTTTGTATTTAGAGATAATTTCAAATTTACAGAATAGTTGCAAGAACAATACAAAAAACTATGTTATACTCTTTATTCATATCTGCCAATTGTTAATTTTGCCTCATTTGCTTTAACGTAGATTCTCTCTTTTCACCCCTCCCCCTCTCCCTCTCAGTACACACACACACACACAATTTTTTCCTAAGCCATTTAAAAGTAAATTATTTAGATCATGTACTTTTTTTTTTTTTTTTTTTATAAGGATGACCAGTAAGGGAATCTTAACCCTTGACTTGGTGTTGTCAGCACCACACTCTCCCAAGTGAGCTAACCGGCCATCCCTATATAGGGATCCAAACCCGTGGCCTTGGTGTTTTCAGCACCACACTCTCCCAAGTGAGCCACGGGCTGGCCCTTGAATTGTGTATTTTTTACCTTTGAACACTTTAGACTGTATTTCCAAAGGACAAGAAAAAGTCAGAAAAAGTCTGCCCGGAATTGTGTATTTTTTACCTTTGAACACTTTAGACTGTATTTCCAAAGGACAAGAAAAAGTCTGCCCACCCCTGTTCTAAAAGAATTACAAATTGTTTTATATACCCACAGAATAGTTATCAATTTCAGCAAATTCAACATTGATATACTATTATATAGTCTTTCATATTCCAGTTTCATCACTTGACCCAATAACCTCTTCTAAAGTATTCTTTCTCCTCTAGTACAGGATCTAAAACTAGCTAACATTTTGTGATTAGTTGCCATCTGTCTTTAGTCACCGAGAGAGACTCTTGATCTATTTCTAAACTACTGTTGAAAAGCCTTATTTACTGGATCTGTGTTGTAAGGAAGAAATCTCAGTTTAGGAGGTGACTACATCTAATTCCTTTATTCAGCTTATACATATTAAATCTACTAATCTAAGAATCCATGACTGATGTTGACTTATTTAAAACTAAAGCTCATATTTCTTAACATATTAATATAAAAACAATATATTAATTAATATTTTTGAGCAACCTTTTAAAGCATCTCTTTTTCAGGTGAAATGATCTCTGAGGTCTTTTAGTGATTGTGTGACTTTTTACTACTAATCAGTTATTTAATGAAATTGAACCAGTTATGTGAAATTTACCCATGAGGTAAATACTGTGAGAAATATGTTTAGAAAGATACAGACAGGAAAAAAACCCCAAAACTCCAAAATAGCAGTTTTTGTTATCTCTGGTAATTTGACTTTGTCAGAAAATCCTATTTACTATTAAACAAAAACAAAGGAAAAAGAAACAAGATTAATTGCTTATTTGAAATAGCACTCATATAGATTTGATAATGATAACTTCCTGGAAAGCAAAAGAAAAATGGTATGGTGGAGTTTATTGTAACTGAAAAGAGAAAAGGGAGACGTGATAAAAAGGAAAGGAACAAAGGTATGTTTTGTGTTTTCATCTCCAAAGTCACAAGAGGCTTTATGTTTACTAGTTATCTTTTAAAAATAAAATCCTGTGTTCATTTTTTTAGGTGGGAGCTGCTCTGAGACCAGCATTTTCACAAGATACACCATCAGATATAATAGCAAAAGCTTGCCAGGTATGAGGAAAAATAGGGTTTTCTATAGTTGTTTTCTATAAATTCATAGATATCTTAGAATTTCAGTTCCAAGAAAGAAGAGCGAAAAATCAAATAATATTTTTATCTGGAAATACAACAGTGGCAGTTTCCTTTTTATTCTGGTGATGAATAGTGATGAAATAGTAATTGCTAATCACATCCCTTTTTTTGTTATAGCTGAAAACATGCCTTTGGGATACATAGCTCTTACATTATTCAGAAGTCAAGAGACATATGAAAATCATAAGAGAGACTAAAATAAAAGTAAGAGATCAAAATCTATAATAATTAAAGAGTATATAGTAATGATAATTAGGCAGTAAACATTTTTTGACTACAGGTTTAGAAAGTTCTACAAGTTTCTGGGTATTAAATTATCCTAAAGAGAATTTCACAATATGGACATTTCATTGCAAAATTAATCCCAGGGGATTATTTTCATGTTATTGTATCTGTAGCGCCACAAAACCACCAAAAACACATATGTTCCTACACCTTCTAAGTAGTTCCTCTTTTTCATATGCCTCATCCTGAAAAAGGATGTCTTTCAGAAGATCACATTCTTTATCTGCTTACCTAAGGATAGAAGAGAAGCAATGCTTCCCTTCCCAGTTTTCTGGAGTATAAGCAGTGTTGTGGTTCATTATTTTTGCTTAGAATCCATGACTAAGCTTCATGTGATTTCTGTGCAGAGAAGATTCTGCTCTTTGCAATGATAGGTTTCAAATTCTGATTTTGTTCTCTCTGTGGCTGAATGGGTTTGCCTCTTCCTTCCATTGTTACGATTTATTTCTCTGAGGCCTGCTGCTTTAGTGGTGACCTTCAGAGAAATTAACTCCTTCCACTAACAGCAGACCAGAGAGAGAAGAAGAAATATTGTTTGTACCGTTTGTAAGAGATTAGTCTCTTGATCATAGTTCAAAACTTTGAGTTAGAGTAGGTAATTTGGTTTGGGATACACACAAATATCAACAATCACAGTCATGTGTAAATAATTATTTTATGGTGATGTTTCAGAGCATAGTATTTAAGCAGACAAAACCTCCTACAAAGCTCATGATGATTAGAAAAGCCAAGGCTATTAGAATTTAATCGTGTAAATAAGTAATATGAAAATTTACTGTTATTTAATTTTCCGAAACTTCTTATTTCTTTTGTTGCCCCAACTGCTTTTTCTATAAGAGAAGGCTATTAGAATTTAATCGTGTAAATAAGTAATATGAAAATTTACTGTTATTTAATTTTCTGAAACTTCTTATTTCTTTTGTTGCCCCAACTGCTTTTTCTATAAGAGGTTTCTTCTTTTCTAGTGACAGGCTTACAATTCTTCTATTGCTGGGAGGAAACCTAGTTTTGAAACAAGTGGAGCAGTGGGTTGCAAGTTTATTTCCTTAAGGGAAAACAAAGAGTTAGCTTACGTGGCATTCAGCTTGTTTGTTAGAATAAATGTTGTGTTAAGAAACCTTAAAATCAGGGTAATTCTCAGATACTGCAGGAGAGACCCTCAAATGTTACACAGTTGAGGACAATAACCAGTGAGTTAATAAAAAATCATTTAAAGCAGGGTCTGAATTATAAACATAACACATACCTTAATTATTTCATTTCAGCTTAAAATTTCTGAATGCATATTCATTCACTTTTGATTAGCAGCACAAGGTCTTTACTCTGAATGTGATTTTGCTGATTCAGTGCTGCTTTATCTTTCTTCATAAGCCAAACTCAATAATGCATTATCCGCAATTTCCAGTTTCAGGTTCTTGTGAAACTGAAATTGTGGAGAAGTACTTAGATTTTTGCAAAGAAAACTTAGTGGCAAATGCTCAATCTTTACAGTTTTTCCCAACTTTTAGTTATATTTCTATCAAATTTCACAGAAATATTTATCAAATCTCTCCAATATGTTTAGTTTCCTTTAGAATAACAACATTTTGTTTTTGTACTCATATTTAAACTCTTTTCACTTTAAATTTCATTATATTTTCAGCATTGTTTTGACTGGTATTTTATTTTGTTATCAGTATGTCCTTAATTGTTTGATAACAATCAGTTAAAAGTGTCTGTATTAATTTTATTAAATTTAGTTTTGAAGTGTTTGAAAATAAGATTTTAAGAGAAGAAAATACTTTAAATAAATATTTATTCTCAAGTTTTAAGAAGTTTTAAATATGGGAACACAGTCCATTTACCATGATTTGAGATACAAATGCTCTGAAAACCAAAAGCTTTTTCACAATTTATTTGGTAGCAAAACTTGAGCTGACTGTACTCGTTTGGCCCTGACATGAAACTGAGAGACTATAGTATTGATGGATCTCTCTTAGGTGATTCGTAATTCATTTCATTGCAGAAATGTCTATGTGTTAATTTTGGGGTGCTGCAATACATCTTGCTAAGTGTATTCCTTAATGAGGTTCATGTAACTTATATTACCTTTTACTCAAAAGTGGTGAATTGTGAAACACATATTGGCCCAATGACTTCAAATAAGAAAGTGAGGACTTGTAATTATTATTAATAAAGTTGGCACTATTAGACCATCCCTTCCTTCTCGACATTCTTCCTTTGGCTTCATTTTCACTGCACTTGCCTGATTTTCCTTTTGTTTTTCTGCTGTTTGCTTTCTAATTTCTTTCTTTGTTTATTCTTATTCTACTTGTCCCGTAAGTGTAACTATTTTCCTGTGGTCTAGCTTTAAGGCTTTTTTTTTTTAACCTGCCCTTGACCAAATTTACCTAATTAAATTACTTTAGTTATCGCCTTTCAGTGGGGATTCCCAGGTTTATGTATTTACCCTGAAATCCAGACCCAGATTTCCAACTGCCTGTTGAATATCTTTCCACAAGTCTCTTAGTGGCACCGTAAACTCAGCTTGTAAAAATGTTTGAAATCAAAAGCATGCTCTCTAATGTCTCATCTTCACTAAAGTTTACTATTTTCCTATATT